CCTTTGCCCGGGGAGGAAGAACCGACGCAGTCCATCTCTCTTTCCACATGGATCGCTCTGAACGCTGTTTCGGATGCTGCAACGGAGCCGTGAGCTCACTTATTACACTGGTGCCTTGCAATCTGAGGTCGACTCGATCCTTGAGGTCTCGAAACCAGCCTCTGGACTCGGCACCGTCTGATTTGTCCAGCACTCTTGTCGGCTGGAAGTTTCCAAAATGCAGCACTGAACCAAAAATCTGCAGCCAGACGAGAAGGCTCAGAGTGATCTTCAGTCTGAGATTTTTTTTATAATATTAGTCGAGCTCTGCTCTGTCCGGCAAGAGGAGCAGGGCAGAACGAGAATCAGGACGACCTGCACCATGCAAATACAAGGCAGTGATGGAAATGAGAAAGGCAAGCCAGCAGCCACTAACTGGCTGTCGCCTTCTCTTGCAAGATGTGAGAAGCCCAGGACCAAGGGACGGCTACAAACTTACTTTCTACCATGACTGACTGACTGACTGACTCACTCACTCACTCACTCACTTGGACTTTTGGCGCACTTTAGCGTCAGCCAGCCTCTACAGGTCACCGCAGCGAAATTACGTAAGGGGCGTCGAATGTGCACATTCCAACTGGAGATGGAGATGGAGATGACTGTAGGAGTGAGAATGATGCATATAAGTGCAAAGGACAACCAAACATATACAGTACAATAGCACGAAGGATGGAAATACTTCATCAAGTCCTCTATAGAAGAAACCGAAATAGAAACAGGATGCTAAGTCCCAATAGTTGGAATATCTTGGTGATACAGTCTACCCATGAAGGAACAACAATCGACCAAGCATCCAAGGGTACATCATGTCCATATTGCACTCTGCTTTTTGCTCTTTATAAAGAAGTGAAATCATGCTAAATAGAGTAATACAACTATTAAGTTGAAGATAATGATATCCACATCTATCTAGAAAATCAAACTTACATTTTAGAGCTGATTTTCAAATAACTCTAAAGCTGAAGAATTAAACTCTGCACACCCTGTTCTTGAAAACCTTGGGTGTTGATTATGCACTTGTGTCTTATCTAAGAAGCTGAAAACTCATCATCTTTTGAAAATATATTACTTGTACAATCAATAATCACCCAATTTGCAACTATAACATCCATCTATTAAAAAAATCATAGATTAACTCACAAATGCTTCATCTTCTTACCCTAAAGCAAAGATCACATACATAATACCAAAGTGATACCAGTTTATGACAGATGGAGGTAAATGAATGTAAATGGATATATATCAAGCCAATATAGAACTCATCAAGGGAAATACTTTACACGAGTATGAAAACCCTCATATGATGAAGCCAAGATCCTTGCATCCTTGTTGAAGCAAAATTTTGGATAAGCTATAGTAATATGAGGAATTGTTGTATTTACCACGAGTGAGTGTAGAAACTAATGACACGAATAATATCTGAAGCGAAAAGTTGAACCGACTTTTCGCTTCAGATTTTAAAACTGGAATAATACGAATTAAAAGAATGAATACTACATCATGTATTTCTTCACATATACACAACCACCACAATCATGTTAGACCCCATATCACGTTATATGATGTAAATCAAAATTCTTTCATTCCAATCTCTATCATTTTCCAACTAGATCTTAACACAAACTAAGTATGTAATGAAAGTAATTAGTAAAAGAAACGTAGACCCATGTTAGATATAAGTAAAACCACTCAAGAGCCCTAAAAATAATATCTTTACAAATTAGGTGAACAATCCTCGATTATATTGAAATTTAATACTCACGTAACCATAACCAAAGAAGAAGATAATCTTTTACTCACTCCCCATCTTTTAACAAAGTTTTGTCCCATAATAATAAAATTAAAGCCTTAACTCAATCAATTCTCTGAAAGCCATGTAATCTAGTTACAAAGTACATACAATGTGTTGTTTGTACATGCACACTTGAAATGCGAACGAATAACTCAAAACACGTTGACAGCCAATGCTCAACAGTAAGACAAATAAATGATGTTCGTTTAGAAACAGATCATTTAGCTTTGAAGGTGCTGCCAAGATTTGCCAACACCAATGGAGATTCAGGGTCAATTGATGATTCTGGAAAGCAAGTCCTAAGACACTCCTCAGTGGTTATAGCCTTTTAGAAAACAGTGACTTTTAAAAATTTGTATAGGTATAAGAGAAGTATTTTTTTTCTTTTAGAAAAGAGTGCTATTCTACTCAATACCTGCTACTACGCACTGCTATTCTACATTTTAAATGGAAGTATGGTTCCTTGTATGTGCAGGAAAACTGAAAAGCAAGTAGGGGATTTTCTTCATGAGGTCCTGGAAGAGAATACATAACTCTTGTGAGACTAAAAGAATATGAACAAGTTACAAATTTTCCTCTCTTTTTTTCCATTTCTCTCTGTCATAAATTTAAACATGGTATATGACAGAATTTTTATTTTTTGTCACCAAAACGAAAAGATACCAAATTAGAGCATATGCTTCTCGAACTGTTTATTGCAGCCTAGCATCTGATTTCTGGGTCTTCCTTGTACGGTTTGATGGGATCTTCACATCCTTCTTTGTTATCTACATGGCCCGCCGATGCTACAAAATCTTGGATGAGACAAAGTAAATCATGTTCCAGCCTGGGACTATTCAGTTGGTGGAGGCGGTGCAGTGCTTGACTGTGGAAGCAGAAGAAATAGGAGCCTGAGAAGCATATGGATTTTTTTGGTGCGAGAGGAAAGAAAAAAAGATGATGGAAGAGTCAACAACTTCACCTTCAAAAATACCGGTGACGAGAAGTTGCACTTCCTCAATAGAGTCTTTCGTTAAGCTGATGGCAGTGAAGACATCATAGTCAGAGGCAAAAATTATCCATGAAACGAATATGCTCTTTGAGTCTAATTTCGTTCGAGGAGTGGACATATATGTCTTAGATGTTAATTCCCGACGAGGAATTATTTATTTCAGTGCTCATCATTCGCATCGAAAAATCTACAGCCCCTCGACTAGCGTTGTTCCACTCGTCGAGGCTTAGGACCTTGTTCAGCGTTGTCACCCGGCTCTGAGAATGATCAATGTCAACCTGAGCTTTGGAGCATGGAAAATGATGTTGGTGAAAACACCATATCTACTGACTTTCCTTGCGTTCGTACATTCTGGATCCACATCTGCAATATCTGTCAGAGCTCGCAGCAGGAAGAAAGCATGTTCTGAGGAAAGGCCCGAAGGTTGCGGATGGCGATTCGATCGCTTCGGAAAGTGGCCATGCTCCAAGCAACACTCTTCGCAATGGGACAAGCAAAGATTGAGTGTTGCAGGCTATTTGGAGAAGATAGAGTATACTCCTCAATCCAGGCGGTGCAAGGGGCCGATATGCAAGAACAGTTCCACATCAGCATAGTCGAGATCCAGCAGTGCCCAAAAGAAATCACGATGTCGTTCCCATCGGATGCCTGGGCCCTAGCCTAACAGGCGACAAGCTACTGCACAGTGCTCTTATCTTTTTTTTTTTGTTTGGACGTAGAGAGTGTAGTTTCAGAAGGGAACCAAGTGCTTCTCCTTGCGTAACTATCATTTACTATTTCCTTTACTTGATGTATCAATTTGGCGATGATGTATTTGACTCTTGTAGGTTTCCAGCAAAGATGGGAAGCGAAATGGAAAACTTCTGATCCCATTTTTTAAAAAATTTACTAGAGAGCTCCCCTGAAAAGAAGAAGAGGGAGAAATTTTTTCGTATAAGACTTTTTGGAGAACATGCCACCACAGAAGGTGCTCCAGCTCCTGATTTTGTGTCCCCAGCTAGCCTAAAACACGAATGGAACATGAGTAGAAAGGATGAGATTCTTGAACCCACTTGGTTCAAGCAATCTAAAATGTGTGGACACTTCAGTTGATCACCTGCTGCAGTCTCTGCTGCAGTCTGAGCACAAGAGTCCAATGAAAGTGATCCCTCCAAGTGAGTATTGAGTATGCGGGGGATGCATGTACATTGGTCGGTTGCCCCAGAAATTACCACCTCCTAGTCTAGTCGATTCTCTACCTATCTCGATGGAAGACGATGACATTCTTTTCGAGGAGAGGACATAAGGCCAAAGTCTGAATCCATTCCAAATGGCTCGTGTCAAAAATGTGAAGGACCTTACACCGCAGCTCATGAGGTGAATGAGTACATTTAAAGTGATTTCAAATCATGTTCAAGGCACCAGTGAAGAAATCGGGTAAATAAGCCAAGTTGTGGCAGCCACACAAACTAAAGCAGGCTGACTCTGAGTCCATCGCATCCAGCCAGTCTGAATCAGAGGAAGATACTTGAACCAAGCAGATTATCTAACTTATCAAATGCCCGTCGAGTCCAGCCAGAGACCGAACAACTAGCTGCTCAAGTGCAAAAAGAGAACCAGCCCAGTCCAGCAAAGAAGAAGAAACAGTGAACCCTTTTACTGAGCTCCCTGCACACAGAGTGAGACTCGGGTTGGAGCTGGGGCTGCGCTGGAACTGGAACGGGAACTGGAACTCTCTGCAGCAGCCAGGCAAGGCCGGCAGACAGGCCAATGGTGGTATGGTTGGGGCCATGGCAGAACTTAGAACAGGATTGGGACTACCTCTCAACGCTGGCCTGCCTCATGCCATTGGCCAAGCAGGACGAGGAGGTCACGCCAGGTCTCCGGGGGAGGAAGCAGTGGCGGGATCTCTTCGAGGGCGACGAGCTCTGGAGTCTGGAGTCTGGACTCGAGTCTACTTGTGGAAGAAGCGAGGAGTCAGTCGGTCGTCAGCAGGCCGCAGCCGCTGGCGCCACGTGCCAGTAAGAGCCTGCCCTGCAAGGAAATGGTCGGGAAATGGCTCGGGGGTGAGCCACTGCAGCAGCAGCTCGGACTTCCAAAGCTCCTCCAGCTGCGGAGGCTCAATCGATCGGCCACTCGTTTTGCCTTTTTTATTTAAGGCCGTGGAGAAGACGGGAAGCCTTGGAATCCCGTTTGGAGTCCCGCCGTTCCTCTCTCGCTCTCGCTCTCGCTCTCTCACTCTCTCTCTCTCTCACTCTCTCTGTAGGCTGGCAAGTCAGTCAGTCGGTCGTCGCCGTGCGTGTTCACGTTATCTAACTCATCGTCATCTGACGACGTCTGCCTGCTCGCCCGCCTCTCTGTCAATAATTCTCGTTGTCGTCGTCCAAGTCTGTTTGTCGACAAAAGTCATGATTCTCAGCTTCGGTTCGGGCCCCTTCAGAGATGGAAAGCAGCCTTGTGCTGCTCATATATAGACCCACGGACAACTGTTGTTCCAGACAGCTGAGCTCCTTCTCTGTCAAATCTGCTCGACGCCTGTCCGTGCGTCTCAACTCCTACTACTGTTTATTCACAGTCGCCCCTCGAAAGGACACAGCTCAAGCTGCTGCTGCTGCTCCGATTCTGAACCTGGTCACAACCAATCTTGGCTCGCCCCTGTCGATCATCGTCCTCGATTAGACGGAAACGAGAATTTCACTGACAGAGAGAGCCACAGAGAGAGACACAGAGAGAGCGAGAGAGAGAACGTATTATTATTTTGGTATTGATGGTTACAGCTTCAAGTCTCGAGGGAGTCATGGGGAAATGCTGTAATTTATAGATTGTAAAATTAAAAACTGCGCTGGAGTTTGTTGGCGAGGAAGAGCAGAGGGCTGGCTCGCTGGCTGGTGGATGCGAAAGTATAAGAGTCACAGCAGAGTGCGCAGATTAGACCCAAGGAATCCTTCCTGAACTTCGTCGTCTCTCGTCGTGGAGAGTGCGGCGAAATTGACTGCAGGCGAAGAGAATTCGCGTCAGGTGGAGCTGAGGTCGGGAGATCACACGAAACGCTGACAGCCGAGGGAGGTGGAAGGAAGAAATCCGGTGAGAATTCTGCACAAGACGAGAATCGCATCGCGATGGTGGATTCCGTCAGGGCCCCGTTGCTGGACAATGGAGGCTCGAACAACGAGAGCGGCGCGCAGCTGCGCCGAGCGGAGTCCAATGGATGCATTATCGATCGCGTGTGCATTCCGGTGTGCAGGCACGTGAGCAGGAGGAACTGCGAGATTTTGTCGGGCCCCGTGGGCGCCATGGTGGTGTACTTGACGGCGCGAGCCACGGGCGCAGGCAACGAGACGATGGAGGCGGATCCTCACAAGATCGCCATCATGCTCGGAGCTCTGGTGTGGATGGCCTTCTGGTGGATCTTCGAGCCCGTGCCCATCGCCATCACGTCGCTGCTGCCGCTGGCCCTGTTCCCGTTTCTGCAAATCATGGACTCGCAGCAGGTCTCGAGCCTCTACACGAACGACATTGTCATGCTCATGCTCGGCACCTTCATCCTGGCCCAGGCCATCGAGCGCTACGACCTGCACAAGCGCATGGCCCTCAAGATCCTCCTCATCTCCGGCGGCCAGAACATGGACCCCCGCCTCGTGCTCCTCGGCTTCTGCGCTGGCCCCGCATTCGTCAGTATGTGGATGTCCAACACCTCGGCCGCTGTTATGATGATCCCCATGGCCAAGGGCGTTCTCGACAACCTCAAGCCTCTCGCCTCCTCCACCTCCTCCGCCTCTCAGCCTCCTCTCCGTGCCACATCTTCCCCGTCTCTCGCAGCCTTCATGGTAAGCTCTCGTGCTCTCGACAATTCTCTCAAAGTCTCTCAATTCTGCAGCTGCACGCGCATTCTCGAGCTCCAATTTGTCGTCGTGTTCTGTCTCGAGGAGGGCCGCAAGCAGAGCTCTGACGTCGGCGGATGCATTCGTGTTCATGTTCATGTTGTGGCAGGAGGATGAGGAGCACGCCATAGGCTCGAAGTTGCACGACGAGGACGAGGAGTTGGAGCAGGAGGAGCGCAGGATGGCCGAGGCAGTGGTGCACACGTACTCGCAGGGAGTGATGCTCGGGGTGACATTCGGGACTGCAGTGGGAGGCATGGCGACTCTGATCGGCTGCGGGCCCAATGTCGTCATGCCGGGCTTGTACCACGAACGCTTCCCGGAAGCTCCTCAGGTCACGTTCCTGCAGTGGTTCAAGTTCGCCATGCCTCTCGCTGTCCCTTACCTCATTCTTCAGTGGCTCTTCCTCTGCTGGTACTACTGCCCATCTTCGGCCGTGCCCATTCTCTCCGCCAGCTTGAATCGCCAGCTCGTCGAGAAAGATTACGAATCATTGGGTACGCACGAGCACCTTTCTCGCTCTCTTCTTCTTCTCCTTCGTCGACCACGGCCAGTTTTTCTACACTCATTCATTCGTAGCTGTTTGCATAAATTTGGTTCTTAATCTTCACATCTTACAGAAGACGAGACGAGAGAATTATTGTCATTGTTCCTGCGATTGTTCGTTGCACTTCAGCACAAGCCTGCCTTTCTCCCTTCCTCCCAAACCTCGCTCGCTCCCTCCCTCGTGTATACTGGAAAATTCAGCGAGCGCTAGCCTTCAGCTGATTGCTGATGGCTGTACGTGGACGAGTTTTTCGATCGCGTGAGGATTAATGTTCGGTTCACTTCACTTCTCCTCTTCGAAACGGGAATTGCAGTATTGGATTGTGGGTTGAGTTCTGCAAAGCTGAATTAGAATTGAGTTCTGCATCGCTTCATTAGTCGACCCTCTGTTCGCTGGCCACACGCCGCTGGCGTGTGAGTCGGGCCATTTGTCAGCGGCTCCCTGGAGTCTCGGATCAGCGTAGTTGGGCAATGACTCGCTTGACATCAGATGCCCAACGAACTTTTCCTTCCCAAGGCATCGAGCACTTATGGCCATCAGGGCCTAATTCAGGAGCTACAGCTGAGCTCGGAAACGTGTGGACATCAATCAAATGGAACACAGAGTGAGAGAGCGAGTTCTCACGCTTGTTCCGATGCTTGCATGGAAAGAGCTCGAGCTTCCAGCCATAATTGCTCGCGCGACGAAACAACGCTGGCGTGCGTGAACCACACGCGGGTCGGGTCGGGTCCACGGACGGAGTTTGCTCTGGAGCTCGGCTGGAGGCATGAATCTTGTAATAAGTGTTTCTCATGTCAGCTACCGCTGCTCCAGAGACTAGAATCATCACTTTTCCCCAGAAGTGACGTCAGTGAGCTCGTAATCCGGATTTGGCAAATTGAGCCCAGAAAAATCGACTGATTTGGATATAGGCGTCGGCCGCATGCCCTCCTTTTCAAACATACGTGACAGTGAGAGTGAGACTGGCCTTGTGGGGCATGGAGAACCAGAGTGCACTCGATTCTGGGTGGGCCCAGCTTTCTCCGCGGAAGCTGTTACATCGGTAGACATTCCCGCTCTGCTACTGCACACGAATCTCACGTGTGATCTCTGCAATCTCTGGATCTCTTGTACTGTACTCGCCTGACCGGGCCGGGCCCCTTGGCATGTGCAAGGACCTGGCTCGTGCTCCACGCGTCTCCTCACTGAGCTGTGCCGTGCTTTGCTTTTCTGCAGGTCCCATGACATTCGCCGAGAAGTTCATCTTCGGAGAATTTTCCGTAAGTGCCACCTTCCAGTCCATCACTCACTCACTCACTGATTACGATTTTGTCCTCACTGACGCTATGTCCATAAGTCCAGCAGCAGCAGCAGAGGAGGAGGAATCTGTCCGTCTGTCTATCTGGTCAATGTTCTCATGTTGGCCTCGGAGTCCGTCCATGTGCCTGCCATTTGGTGAATTTTTTGGTCATGCGTAATTTTTGGTACGTGCATAATTGCGCTGCTAGTGATCTAGTCCTGTAAGGCAATCCGAATGGGAGGAGACACCGACGTCAGATCCCATGGCTCGATGTGATTCCATGGACCATGCAGAGGCCGTCTGCTCACCTGCGCAATCCAAATCGTTTGGCAGATTCTTGTCGTTCTCTGGATCTCGCGGACTTTCGGATCGACCCCCGGCTGGGGCTACTATTTCGGCAACTTCCCCAATGACGGCACGGTCTCGGTGAGTCTTCAATTTCCCGGTTTCTTAGTTCGAGAGCTGAAATGTTGGCACCGTCAGTCCTTACGAATCAGGCCGCCGCTCGCTTGATCTTTAGACAGAGCATCCCATCACTCCGTTCGATCTGCGAGCTTCTAGTCTCACTGCTTGGCCATTTAAGTCGAGCGTAAATTCACGTCGTGGTTCGCTTGATAATCATCGTCATCAGCGATTAAACCTGCCGACTATGGATTTATGAACTGGTCGGCCTGCAGTGCAGTCAATCAGTATGTCGTACAGAGTGACTTGGAATTTTGTGGTTCCGGTTGAAGATCAGAGCAGAGGTCAAGAGTGCATCACATGGGAGTGATGCTGCTTCTGCTGAATTGGTGGCTTACTGTCGTCGATCGGGGTAGAAGGAGATGAGAATGTTATCGGGTGAGAAGAATGGACAATTGACAGGATGTGATTCTCATGCAGCTTTGGTGGTTTTGAATGCAGATCATGGCGGCAATCTTGCTGTTTATTGTTCCGAACAAAATCAAGGAAGGAGAAATGTTGATGGACTGGAAACACTGCAAAGGCATCTCGTGGAGTGTGCTTCTTCTTCTCGGAGGAGGTTTGTGCAAATCCGTCCACTTGATAATGGGAAGGATAGATAGAGCCTTGCCTTGCCTTGCCTTGCCTGCATCATGAGAATTCTTGAATCTCGGCCATGAAGATGTCGGGAAATGCATGTAGAAAGAAGTAGAAAGTCTTTGATGAGTGTCGTCGACGAGAAATGTCTTCAGCTGATTGGACGGCCCATTGGAACTGCAACTGATCGAATGCCTGGCGAATGTTGCGCGCAGGTTTCGCTCTGTCGAAGGGCATCCAGGTGACCGGGCTGTCGAATTACATGGGCATGAAGATGCAATTTTTGGAGTCCGTGCCATACTATCTTCTGACCCCGATGATGTCGATCATCATCAACGTGGCCACCGAGTTTTCCTCCAACACTGCCACGGCCACTCTGTTTCTTCCCATCATGGCAGAAGTGGCCGTATCCATAAACTGTCACCCATTGCTGCTCATGATTCCTGCCACATTCTCCAGCAATTTCGCATTCATGTTGCCATCTGGGACTCCTCCCAACGCTCTTGCACACGGCACAGGCTTCTTACCTGTCAACGACATGCTGTTCCCTGGTTTCATGATGCACATCATCGGCATGGTCTTGCTGTCGATATTCACGCCCACTCTCGGTACGTTCCTCCTCCCTCGACTTTACACATCTTCCGTCGAGATCAGATCAGATTTGGGATTTGATTTAAATCGACAAGCTTTCATCCTTAGCGCCAACCTGCAGAGCTCATGAGCTGAAGACCATTGTTGTGATTTTGGCAGGGGCGTATGTATTTGGACTTGATACACCTGCTTCCTCTTTGCCATGGATCTTCGAATGAAACACAAGACGCGACGCGACGCGCAGAATTTCAACCGAGCAGCTACGGACCAAGTAACCAAGCCTACAATTGGCGACAAACACGTGCACGAAACACTCTCACGGACTCACAAGAAATATATACCGACTGAATTCGGCAAGACGAAGAACGACTCGTATGATGAGAATCGATGTACACTACTAGTGCACATGGCAGGCAGGCAGACATGGCCACATTTACTTCCAATGACGACGACGGCACCGTGTTTTCAAGGTGCCCCTGTCGGAAGAGAAAGGATGAAGATGGCGAGATTTGAACTTCGTCACCGTCTGCCAACCAAAGAAGGCAATTCTGCCTTACCCAAACGAATTCATGGGCTAGGGAAAGAGTGTTAGGAACTTTCTACGAGGAGTTACTGACCCGACGATGATACTAACGTGACTATAAAGTGTTTGCGAACGCTCGAAACGCGCACACAAGTCGAGCAATTTCTCGTTGTAAATCGGCTGTAGTAATATTACTGATATCTCAATCTGCTACGAAAGGAAGGCCCAGGGGATCAGAGTGCACACGTCAAGGGACGTGACCCCAGCCGTCGCAAGAAGAGACACGGTTCGAACTTCTATTGAGCAGTTATCAGAAGATTGATCAGATTCGAGACAGGCAGACAGAAGCAATTACTTACATACTTTTGTGAATGACGGAGCGGTCTTTTTTCCCGCTTGACCTCCTACCAGCCTTCAAGATGTTGTACCATAGTATGGGAGATTCCACAGAGTGTAGATTAAATTATTCTTCTGAAGCACATGCAATCAGTGTGCTTCGTTGTAACCGCGATATTACCTCCCCTCGAGCTTCTTATATACCTAAAGAAAGTGCTTTGCACCTTTCATGTATCTGGCTGGTCTGAGCGTAGTCCATTTCTGCTTTGAAAAGAGGTTTCATCAATTTTGACGACCTGTGAGTCTCACTCAGTCCTGTTCAATGTGGTCGAATGTGTGCAACTCCGCCACAACAAGAAGGAAAAAAGAAGCATCGTTGAATAAGATTTCAGTCTTGTGAAAGCAGGTCCAGACTCTTTCATCTGCACTGGCAGTTACTTGGATGGCTCCTCGTCCAGAGTGTTATATATCTAGTCGAGATTTTCCAAACGAAGTTCCAGTCGTCCATCCCATCGGCTCTGCACTTGCATCGATGATTCGATGATACAACTGATTTAGCCAGCTTCCATCCTACCGAGCCAATCCCATTCATTCGGCTGAGTTCTCAGCACAGAAGATCATCACCTTCAAAAAGAAACTGACGATCTTGTGAAGGATCAAAACTCTCAAACGAGGTGGAATCTGCAAACGTGAGACATTGAAGGAAGACGTACAAACAGGAGGAGGGCTACTCCAGACTTCTTGCTGTACATATACATCCAGCAGTCATTCAATACGATGTCAGTAATGCACCGAGACTGGCGAGCAGGTTCATGCAGCTGGTTGTGTTCTGAAAGAAACAGATCCGTTGACGAAGAAACTACAGTCAAAGGGGAATCGTCATGATCATAAACCTCGTTCTGAATCAGAGGAGCAAGATCGTATTTGGACCAGCTTTGGTACTGAAGTGGTGGAAGCAGCAGCTTGTCTGCCTAAGCTCTGCTCTGGTGCGTTCGAAGAAGTCAAAGATACCTTCTCCTTTTAGTCCTCAAATCGTCCCAGGGGACGACGTTCTCGTCTCAGTCTCCTGTACTATCTGACATAATTTTAGAATCTGAGAAAATTCTACAGCAGTGTAGTGATAAGCCATCCCTCCAGAAATCCTAAAATGAAATCAAGTTGTGCCTGCATGTCCAACTAACCCAACGTACCGACACTTCCCGATCACCCGCTCCAGTTGCAGTGAAGGTCATATGGATGATATTCTGGGACAGAACGAAGGATGCCCCCCATCCATATCTGGCTCGCTCAATGAAATTTCCGATCAGATTTGTCGGATCGATTTAGGCCATGCTCACCCAGATCTATACCACGTCTCCACTTCAAATCGAAATTCATCTCATACCTTCAGTGAAAGTAGCTGCACGAGAAGGACAAGAAAGCCCCCAAAATTATTGATATACGCTCCAACATCGTATGATTTATGTTGATCCCGACATGATCGATATACGAAGACAAAAAATATCAAAATACTCTTAAACCTTCTTCTGTTGAATAATAGTTTTAAGAGGGAGGGAATCTATCATTTGCTGCCTCCAATTAGCAATTTACCGCAGTTGTACGTAACTAATCCTGGAAATTGGTACAATAATTTTTACAGCCGCACAAACTGTACAAGTATTTGCGGTACGGCGAAAGTATAGAATGAAGGTTATGGGATAAAGCAATCTTCACAGATGTAAGTGGAAACTGACTTGTTTTCAACAAGATTTTCTAACTCCACCAAAATATCAGTTCAATCTCACATCTCTGTTTCACTCTTATGTATCGAAACTTAGGGAGAGGAGACCGATGAATCAGAGAGGTGGCTTGCATAAGAGACTCGCTTTCTTTTACATTTCAGACAAATTCTATAAAGTTGGGGGAGAGCTACAATTGAGCTCTTAAGTTTCCATGTCTGGGTAAACCTCTAAGACTGAAAAGTTCTCAGAAAAATGATTTAACAGACCTATCAACAAGCATGCTCGACAAGCGTTGGCTTGTTTTTGTTTTTGTTTTGTATCACCACGAGAGCATCGAAGATATGTTACTGATAGTGTTAGATTTGATGAATTTTGTTCAGAATGTTTTGGACCAAGCGTTTACTAGCATCCAGATTATACCTTTATACCATAATTGATTCCCTTGTGTGTGAGCTTGTTAGATTAGCGAGCTCACGAAAATGCGTTTCTTACAGATCACGGTGCTGACTTTAAAGTCTAACACCTCAACCCCAAAGTCACTAGCTTCGACATCTCCTCCATATCTTGTTCTTTCGACTATTGCACAATTGCGAGCGCGAATGAGCACCACATGAAACAGTTGAAGTTTGCAAGTAGCGTTTGTGATTAGCAGCAATCGTAAGCATTCGTAAGGAGCTTTCAGAAAAGTTAAAATATTAATGAAAGAGTGGATGATAAGCAATTGATACGAAGCATGCTTTCATGCATAATGAGGTTGTAAATAGTGGACAGACATACCTGTCGAAGGCAAGAAGATGTAAGTAACAAATTCTTACAGAGAAAAGAAATTGTATAAACTGATTAACATAAACAATCAAATGTGTCCAATTCCACTTACCAATATTGAAGCAAGGGTAGATTTAAAAAGATTGGTCGTGATTCAAGAACTTCCTGTGATATTTATCTTGAGGAAGAAAATTTATCTGTAATCAAAAATCACATCTGTACGTACGAGCAGAACTTGAGCTCTAATCTAAAGAGTTAGATAAGAGCTCAAGTTATTGCCAATGTGTTGATATCTTATACATACACAGTTCTAAGTAGGACTTGAGCTCTAATCTAAAGAGTTAGATAAGAGCTCAAGTTATTACCAATGTGTTGATATCTTATACATACACAGTTCTAAGTAGGACGATTTGATAATACACTACTATGTTGATTGGAACATAAGCAACTTATGATGCTTTTAAACATTTCAATTTGTGCTTCTTGGGAACAGTATATTAAGTATTTATATTTCAGTTCGAGGCTTGTACTGTCTGATACTATACAGTACATCATAATGCTCATCTTGTTTATGATTGATGCAAATTGTGATACACTTTACGGTCAGAAAACCTTGTTTGATTTGCATCTAAAATAAATGCTCAGATTGTCACAAAAGATGAAATTTAATTTACGAGATCCGCGTTGCTACCCAGGTTTATTTGTAATAGATTTGAAAGCTTAAAGTATTGTGTTCTTTTTCCAAGTGACCAATCTTACAAGTAGGAAGTCACTTTCTAGCTATACTTATTGTACATTAATATCAAAAATTTAAAAAATATTATTATGACCACATGCAAGTCAGGTTTTCTTAGTGTTCCCTTTTAAAAGAAATCAAACTTTCTGAATTAAATATCTACTGATACATTGTTAATTATTCTTGTTGACAAAAGAAAAATTCATATAAATATGACATTCTGTTTCTAAAAACATGGAGAAATTGAACTTGACAACCCCGAAATTTAGATTAAATTTGACTGGCAGTTAGTATAATCTATCCTTGTTTTCTCTGTGACATGTACAGATTTTGGAATCATGAAAAAGTTTTTAAGGCCTAATGATATGCGTGATCAGTATGAGGCGAGCTCCAGTTGAAGCTTTATCAATAAAATTTGGCCCCTTGTCGTTGATTCACCTATTTTATCTTGAGTTTGAGAAGGCAAGGATTTGGATGTCCTGATTATACACCTTCATACAATTTTTAGAAAATTTTCTTTTCATATATTCAAAAAAATATCATGCTGAAAAAAACTGAGGACAAGTGAAGTAATCAATCCTTTTTACTTTTGGCATTTAGTTGCAATCTTTAATGTTGGTCACATATCCCGCTTTGCATGCAAATTAAAATTATATTGCTTTTGAAAGCACATACATTTAGTTTTTATTACTCTTATTTTCATCTTTAAATTTTAATAATTTAGAGATCAAAAAATTTATTCAAAGGATATAATTTTTTTAAATATTTTTTTGGGTAATGTTGCAGGATGTAGTAATAGGGTATATAAATAGTTACTCACAGATTTCATAGCGAGAAATATAAAAATAGTTTACCGAAGCAAACTAACCTAAGTATCTTTATTAAAAATACGTAGATATAAAAAATATTATAATGTAGTAAGAAGTCATTAAAGTAAATTTATACATAGTTGATTTTCTCAATGTTCAATTTTATACAAAAGAACCTGTATTTTTAAAATTTCAACTTCTATCAATCTTATCAGCTACATATTAGTGAAATGAAATCCTTACGAAGACTAGCATTAAAATTGAAAAAAAATTAGTGCAACACATTATATAATTGTGGATTGGAGACAAGAATTATTTTACAAACGCATGTAAAGTGTGACATCGAGTACAGTTGGATTGAACTGCGAGAACTATTTTCGAAACATTATTAACAGTGGATTAATGTGTATCAAACTGAAATAAATGTGAGAATTCATTATACGTGGAAGACTCTTTCCACGAATATAGCTTTTTACTGCTGTTCGCAAACCGGTTGCCGGAAGTAGCAAAGTCACAGCGCAACCGATGAAAGAACAAATTAGCTACTGCGTGAGTCAGTCTCTGACTTTGGTCAAGTATCTCGACAGCAAGCTGTGCTGAAATCTTGTGTCTGAACTTATGGGAAATATTTTTTTCAGAGACAATTTTAATCTAAACTTGACTGGGAGTGTCTTATTCTCCGCGCTCCGAGATCGTCAAAATTCACATCGTTCGGTAGCATTCGGCATCACAATAATAAGAGTGTAAGACGGTATCTGGTGGCAACAAAAATTCAGAACAAATTGAATCTTAGCCTGAAGGTGTGTCACAGGGCCCCACAATCAACAGCCATGTGGGCTACATATAGTCCTGAGATCGTTGTAACAACTCGGAGATTCTAGTCTAGAGTACTATTGGTCAGCAGGTGACGCGTGTGGAAGCTGCACACATCGAAGAAATCGAAACTCACTTCCAGCAGGTACATATGGCACGTACAACGTACGAAAACGAGAGTAGCTCGACCTGGCGAGCGTTCTTTATACAGCAAGAACAACTTTGGCAAATGCAGACTGGCCACTGTGCGCAGAGAGTTTCCTGAATTTAACATGAATTCTGAACGGAAGCCTGAAATAAATGCAGACTTAATCGAGTGAGTGCACGTACTGTAATGAAAATAAAAGAGCACGATGTCGAAGTTATATAGTAGTACATTAGTGATACATGATTGCCTCGCACGCTAGCAATGAGACTCTCATTACTCAGCTGTAAATATCTGCATGATCGAAGTGATCACTTCGAAGGATCGAGCAGGCTCGTACAGGAAGATGTCACTGGGTGCAGGTGCACGGACTTGTTGGAAATCAAGCAGAACCAGATGTACGTACGGCAATGCAATACTGATCTGATCATGATGGATGCCTAAAGAGACTTTCTGAAATGATCTGGATCGAACTCGGTCTGAAACCTACAAAAATGTCAAGTGTGGGAGCAAGGGAGTACGAAGAGGGAGCGAGTCATCAAGTGTAAGGCTACACTACACAGGTGCAGTGCGGTGCAGTGTGCTGTAGTGCAGTCACAAGTCTAGTAGTAGTTAAAGTGTGAACTCGGAGCCGATAAAATCTCTTGCTGCAAGGACTCGATGTTGATCTCGCGCGTCTTCACCTGCCAGCATTTGTACAAAGTACGCATCAACTGCTCCGCTCTGATAGGCTTCGCTATATACCTGTCACCACAACACAGATGGAGTTTGTCCACTGTCAACGAAGAGCTCCATCTGATGAGAGAGAGACTTTTGCTGATGTCAGATGGGGAAAATCATTCCTGCAAGATGGATGGCACTAGCAGAGGACGAGGAGGAGGGAAGGAGTAGACTCGGCCCACACTAATTTACACCCAGAGCTCGTTGTCGTTGGACTTGTCCAGACTGCACAGATATTGAGGATTCAAGTTGCTGAACTGAGACTGCGTGGGGCTGGCCAGCACAATGCACCTGTGGAGGAGGACGAACTCAGAGAATATCAGAGTGGAGCAGACACTGAGGACAAGGGTGCTTACATGTGCATGCCAGCTTGTAGACACGCCTTCTTCTCCTCTTCTAGCGCGGCAGCGGTGACTGCCACTATGACCGGACAAGGGTGAATTCGCTGTCGTATGTGCCTTGTCGCCTCCAGGCCGTCCATCTCCGGCATGAAGCAATCCATGAGGCATACGTCGTAACTGCAAGCAAGACAAGCAGCAAGCCAGCCCACGATCCCACTCAGAACCAGCTCACGGTCTATGCTCCTGGGCCGATGTTCTCACTATTCTCTTTCACAGCTCAGTGGGCTTGATGCTCGATCCAAGCACAGTGGGCATCACAAGCTTCACAAGCAGCGTCTGTCGCATGTACGCAAGCAAACGCATGTTCTTGTGATTTCTGAACCTAAAATTAGTTGGCAGCGGATAATTGTTGTTCGGATTTTTACACGAGGTTTATCTCGTCTGAGCTGAGCTCAGATGAACGTCGACGGATTCTGTCAGTAGTAGTCTGAGAACATCGAGCGAAGAAACGCATGAAATTGCCTCGAGCACCCTTCTGCTACGAAATCGAGATTACAGCAATCGGAGCATGGAAAAAACCTACAGGCCCAGGGGCAGCACATGACGACGACTGAATTGGACCACCAAGGAAGACTAGAAGGGTATGCGGGGACGTCGTAAGCCTCAAGCGAACAACGCACCCGTAAAGGACTGGTCTAAGAATTTTGAGGCGCGATGGTCGACTGAAGGACGGATTGAATGACTGAACGACGAAAAGTGGAAACGAACCTCTGTCTTGAAGCTGCGTTCAAGGCTTCCAGACCATTACTTACGACGTCGGCCGTGTATCCATGCCTCTGAAGTAGCCTGAAGAGTACCTGAACCAACCACAAATGCAAGCGTAAAGAACTCAGCGTGTCCTCCAAATCAGAAGCCCGTATCGTGTCTGGCCTAATGAGCAAGGTGAATTCTGAGTCGGTATGAGGGCCGGAAATTTGACTGTGGATGGAAGTGTAGGTTACCTGCTGATTGATGGCATTATCTTCGGCCAGGAGTATTCTCAGTGGAAAGCGTTTGCCCGTGTCCACGTCCATAGTCGCTGGTGAGGGTAGGGAGGGTGTGCCTGGAGCCTGGATTCTGCTTCACATTAAAAAAACAAAATCACCAGCACTGTCTGCTCTGTCGGACCATGAACCTTCCTGGGCCCGAAAGAGAATCCCGGGCAGCTGCAATGCGTGCGTGCTGTCACAGGTTCAAGCTACATACAGCAGGCACATCCCTGTGGTCCAGACCGGAAGTTGTACATGCTCGGCAGGCACCCGCAGCACATTGTCGTTTGTGTTTGCGGATGCGAGATGGAGCTTTTATTCAAACGGCCTCTCCACCTCATGGTTCACGAATCAGCTTAAGTAGTGCTGGTTCGCCCACTCGGGTCAGCTCTTGGTCGCACAAATTTCAGGCACTTCGCTGCAACTTCGAACGACCGAACCTGGAACCTGGGCCACGTTCTCGCGGACAGCACATCACGCCACAACACAGCGTTGCACTGCACTTTGTGACTTCATTTACCAGCCACTGTGCGCACCCGAAATGCTTCAGCAATTGAGCCTTTGCTCCGGCCCATGGAGAGGGATAGATTGCCCGCCGTCTGCCCGGCGCAATCTCCAGAAGATCTAGATATTATGAAGGGCGTGCTGTGCTGTGCCGCTGATGACTGCTCTCCACTTCTCGCTGATGATCGTTCCGGATCTATCATCGACGGAATCACAACCCGGTCCGATCTCTGGAGTCAAAACTCCTCTTGTCACCCTCCCTCCCTCCCTCCCTCCCCTCCCCTCCCCTCCCCTCCCCAGTCTCCCCAGTCAGTCCAGTCAAGCAAGTCAGACAGTCAGTCAAGTCAGTCACGCTTCACTTCGCTAGCTCGCACCACTCCCCGCCTCCCAAAAGTCTTGCAATGTGCTGAGCTCTATCTAGCGCTCGCCTAGCTACACAAACACATACACACGGCGCTAAGCGACAGACATCTCAGAGCCAGTGTCTGAAAGTTGCGCCTGCCTCCAGATTCGACCACTTGAGTTACCGCCTGATGCGAGTGAGTGTTTGGCTCATCAGAAGCAGGGAATGTGCCGAGGCTTTAACGCTCGAGGACGAAGCAGGACGGCGACGGCGACGGCGGAGTAGGAAGAGAGGCAAGGGTGGGATGGATCGCGGGATCGGATTTGCGGTTTGGCGGAGCCGCGAGGGGGGAGGGGGGAGAGGGGAGAGGGGCTCGAGCGTCCGCTCTCTTTTGACTCGGCTGATCCACATGGCGCTCAGCTCGAGAAGGGAGAGATCGACTTTGAGCGCAAGATTCTCTCGGGGCTCGGCTGGTTCGCTGCCTCGTTGGTTGCCGTGCTCGTAAAGCGCTTTTGGGCCCAACCGCGATGCGAACCCCCGCGGGCACATGCCCCCGGCCCCCGGCCCCCGGGCCCGCTCCGTCGCCTTCCTCCTCCCTCCGTCGTCGTCGTCGTCGTCGTCAACGCTGCTGCTGCTGCATACGCCGCATACGCTGGGTCTACGGTATGATGAGGGTATGGATGGAAGTGCGTACGTATGTCAGGAGGCCGTACGGAAGGGGCGGGGGAGACTCTAGGACCACCCTCCCGGAGTCGCGGGGGCATGAGCATGCGCTGGCGCGCCTTTCCGTTGGTGGCCAGCCACACGTGCAGAATCTGTTGGGGAGGGCGGACGAGGCCGAAGGGGGGGCCTCTCGCTCGTTCTCTCTCTCTCTCTCTTGGGGCTGTGCGGGCGAATCTAGATATTTCCGAATTCGGTTTCCGTTTCGGAGGTGCAAACGAGTCTAGAGCGTGTCGGAGATTCGAGCACTACGCTAGAGGCGGCCCGATCGCGATTCTCGAATCGGATCGGTAGTTGGTCCCGGGGCATCGAGATCGTGCTTCGGCCCGCAGGTGCGTGCATCATGAAGATTTTCCCAATTGAGCGACGGATCTCGTTGTCAGTACAGCTCTCGCGCACACAACCTCTTCTGAGGTCCCCTGTGCTGAAATCGCAGGCCTCTCGCTCGGCCTTGCTTGCTCGTGTCCTTGGCAGCGCGCGAGCCCAGCTGCTTGGTGCGTTTTGCGTTCTCCGCTGAGCTTCGCCCGATCCCGCGCTCCGCCTTTCCAATTTGGTCCTGGCACTGCATCCCAGGCCAGTGCCAACCAGCCGCCAAGAATAGCTGCGCTCCGTTTGCGCCGTCGTTGCGAGCTCGTATGGCTTCTGTCCAGAGATACTGTCACAGAGAGTGATCCTCATCGGAGCCAAATTGGACCCTGCGACTTTAGGACGCAGGCATGCCACTAATCGTACACTCCCGCTACCGAGTTCGTTGCGACAAGCTAAGGGGCGTGCCTGAAGTCATGGTGGATGGAGCGAACGTCCTAACGATTCTACTTCTGAGAATTATCTCTCGACGTAACGATGTGCAGAGAAGAAAAACTTTTACAGCTTTTTTTCTTCCACTGTAGTGATCAGCTGAAGTGAATCGAATCGGATATAGAGTTTAGGTGAAATATATGAAGATTTGGACTGGATTTGCTTGTATCTTCGTGTTTGGCATTCCAGTTGTCTTTGTGGCTCGGATGTCCAAAGGGGAAGAACGTGCATTTACAATCGTATGTACCATAGGGGGATGGATCTCCTCCAGAGAATAACAGACAAGGAGGCAGAGCGACATGCATGACAACAACAATGATCCATCGGACCAACGAACTCTTTCTGATGTCATCAAGGCAGTGAAATTCACGCATATTTGAGAATGGCTTGAAAGCATGTGCACGCATTCTGCAGATGTGGCGAGGGAGACAGAAAAGCTGTCGGATAGTAAGCCTGGTAGATAATCAAGAAGAAGGGGCTTTTATACAAATGACGTTGAACATTTTTCTACTAGCTATCTAAAAGCAAAGATGGCAACGATTGACCATCCTGCCTACATGCAATGGGTATCAGCTTACCATCAATTTTTACAACTCGCTCCTGGAACTTCGCCACTCACGCTACTCGTGTAGTTGACGATTGAAGGAGATCAAAACTCTATGTACGTCACAGTGTCGAACTCAAAGCTGAAACCTACAAAACTGCTTAATGTGGGAAAGAATGGGGTGACTCTAATACTTCCTTTGTCCACTTGGAGCAGATAATATTTCTTGCTGCAAGGACTCTACATTGATTTCTCGTGTTTTCACCTGCCAGCACTTGTACAGTGTACGTATCAACTGCTCGGCTTTTATCGGCTTTGCTATGTACCTGTCGAAACGGCGTCATCGAAGGAGATCAGAAGACAGAACATGACCACAAAGAAATGATGAAATAACTATTTGATGCAAACCACAAGGTGATGCCACCAAATCGGGTTATATAAGAGAATCGCCGTTGACTGCAGGAAAATTGAGAATCGAGCTTCAACAGGTGCAAGGATCCCTCTGCGTGACGAAGACCAGGGGAGTTACAGAGGTGCTCACATGTGCATGCCTGCTTGTTGACAAGCCCTTTTCTCCCCTTCTAAAGCAGCAGCAGTTACTGCCACTATAACGGGACACGGGTTAATACGCTGCCGTATGCGCTTAGTCGCCTCGAGGCCGTCCATCTCTGGCATGAAACAATCCATAAGACAGACGTCGTAACTGAAACAACAATGAGAAAGTTAGAACCACATCCATAAATTTATTCAGAAATATTCCAATCTTTATTTATGTTTGAAACAGACAAACTGACATTATAAGTATTCTCAAATTAAGAAAATGTTAAGACATTTTGACTGGTTGGAGGAGAGAAACAAAACATATCACAAGGGGTCACGAAAAGAATAACTTCATTTCCACGCAAGAACGAAGATTATCTTATTTCGAAAGGATTAGATACGGTTTTCTAGAAAAAATGGATAACTCAAATACAATGCTCGTGCTGGAGTGAACCTTTGCCTCGAAGCTGCATCCACGGCTTCCAACCCGTTCCCTACAACATCGGCCGTGTACCCATGTCTTTGTAGTAACCTTAATAGCACCTGAAAGCACGCAGTAGTAACGCAGACAGGGATTAGCAGCACGAAGGGGGCGAGTAACAGAGTACTTCCATCTCGAGACAAAGAAGAACGCTTTCAGTACAAATCTGACACATCCAGATGGTTGTGCCAAAAGAGAATAGCTTCACCTTCTGATTAATCGCATTGTCCTCCGCCACAAGTATTCTCAATGGATATCGTTTACCCGTGTCCACGTCCATGCTCACAGGTGCGCCAGCATTCAACCGCTTGGTCCACTTCTTCAATCCCGGAGTCGAGAGCTCCTTATTTGGCTCAGGATCTACCCTCTCAATGGCCATATCATCTTTATCATCCATTATAGCATTCATCAGTGAGCTAAGCAGGTGAGAAGCTTTCACAGGTTTCGATACGTGGGCAGCACACCGAAAGTCGAGCTCCTGAAAGATAAGTCCACAGCCACGTTATCATCTTACTTCTTGGAAAGACATGGCGGCATTTATTTTAAAATTTTATGAGTCCGGGGCAGCTGTCATCCGCGTCTCCATGCAAGTTCTTCAATCAATGCCCGAGGGAAGTGGAAAACTGAGACAATTTGGCTGCCAGACTTAATTTAATTCACGCCTTTAGCACGACCAACTTCCGGGTGGTGTGGATACACAAAGAGACGTTGTGCATTAAGAAGTACCCTAGTTGTACTGCCAGTTCGTACCTACTACGGCATTCTCCTAGTCCCCTACGGTACTTGTGTCGGGAGTTTATTAAGACTGATCGTACCTGTACATAATCCTGAATTCGACGCGCGAAAGGAGTAAGAGGAATTACGGGTATTCTGGGATTGGAAGACTGGCACAGCTTTAATGACTCCAGCACTCGACGATTGTCCTTGTCAATCTGTAGCATTGAATTGAATGCAACTTAATTCCCGCACAATGACATCCCGAATCCCCTCACAGAACGCTTGTTCGTACAATTTCGTGGCCAACAACCATATTGAAAACCAAGTCAATCACATTGACGAAAATTGAAAATCGTACAATACGCACCATCGCGCAATCTACGACTACTGCCATAAAGGGATCATTTAAACTGGACGTTTCAGTGTGTTTGCAGCTGCAGGAATGGCCGTCCTTGGCGTGATCCAATGTTTGCCTCACAACCTGAAGTGCTTCGTCTGCAGTAACTGCAGATACGACTCTAACTTGCCAGCTGCGCGATAACAAGACAGTAAGCAATGAGTTTGGGAGCACAATAGATGCACATGCTATCATCTTCAAGGGTTAAACTTATTTCTCGAGTCACAACTCCGATTTTCTTTACACCCCTGAGCAACTACTACTCTGGACGCGTAGGTAAGATTGAAAGGCACAGTCAACGATGTACTCTAGATAGGTTGCACGGTTTCAAAGATGTTGTATAATGAAGACCATGATTGAGACCATGTACATGGCTCACATCGCTGATGTCTCATGTTTCCCGGCCATTGTGTGTATCAAGGACCAGCGTAAGAAATGATCCACGACAAAATATAATCCAGGCCCGTGCGGAATCATAAACGCCCACAATTTTTGAAATGTTATTCATGCTCGTCAAGAAACATAACAGGCCCAAACTCATATACGCATTTCCCTTCAAATCCCTAGAATCACATCGTAATGCCAGATTATCGTATATACAAGGGTATTTACCTTTTACATGACGGGGTCTTACCATCCTTTTTGCTATATTACGGAGTACCAACTTCAAGTTTTATATCACATAAAGATTTTTAAAAAGGTCGAAATGATATATTTCCGATGCTTTTTCCATTACCGTGGTAGGTCACCACACAAGTATTTGACGCAGTAAATGCTAATCAATGAGGCCATCAAAAGAAAGCAACCCAAAGCCAGATTGCCAGATTGTCGGATTAGGAACTGCGGAAGTATACCTCTTGAGAAATCGAGTGCACATAGTCTGACTGCTACTGCTGCTCCCAGCTATGACCAAGACTCGCTTCTTTCGAAGAAACGTCACATAATCCTCCTCGTCATCACTTTTATCTACCTGAACGATCTCCTCTCCATTGATCGTAAAATGGAAAGTTGATCCTTGTCCGGAAACACTGTCGACCCTGTCACAAAAGAGCCGAAATTCATGTCTAGGGTTTTCTCTTCAACTTGGCCTTAATCAAAACAAGGACAATACCAACGAACTTCCTCTTCGCTTTCGGATAAACTCCTAATTTCAATAGTCCTTCCCTTTTCACTTACTCTTCTTGTTCCTTGTCACTAGCATCACCCAGGCACCATCATACTGGGTATGTGATCTTTAGGCTGTGACAGCTTACATAAACTTTAGCGGCAGAAGTTTGGTCTTCATCCATTTTCGATTAAATAATATTATCACTCCTCTCACTTTCACTTCGTTTAACTGGCAGTGAGCTCCAAACCTCTCTAGAGGTGGTGAGCGAGTGAAAGACTTCTTGGTTGATCACTCTCAAATAGTCCTCTCATTATCCGCTTTGTCTTCTCAATCTCAACGATTCTTCCCTGTCTTTTACTACTACCACCACACATCCAGGGCATGGGGTCTTTCGTCTTCAGGCAATTATTAATGAATGCAGTTCATCTTATTGTCGCGATTCATTCGACCACTGCATCGCACTGGAATGAACGAGATGTGAGTCGCGTCTCTTCACTGCAATCATCCAAAATCATGAAGGCTTAGTTGTTTCAATAAATAGAAGACTTACCATATTCTTCCTCCCCAAAGAGCGCACAAACGTGCACAAATTGCAAGGCCCAAACCGGTTCCACCATATTTGCGAGTTGTTGAAGCATCCACTTGCCTAAACGCCTACACAAGTACACAAGCAAATGATGTGAGTGCAGCAAATTCATTCCCGATAGTGTTCATAAAGCCGTCATCCACGCCAAATCAGAGCTTGTGTGTGTGGAAGAAATAAGATTGATTCAGAATCGACAGTCACCTGGAAGAGCGTGTGTTTCCTATCATCGGGTATACCAATCCCAGTGTCCTTGACTGAGATCTGAATTTCCCATTTCGAGCCTTCCTCAGTCAAGGGTGTCGTCCCAGCACATAGCCGGGTTGGCATTTCCTCCAGACATCTCAACGAAGGTAGTTCGTCGAGTTTTCGACCATCGACCGCTATCGATACATGCCCATGTTCCGTGAACTTCATCGCATTGCTTAGTAGATTTACCTGGATTAGAACCAAACATCGGTAAGACACTAGAGGGAGCTCACAAGAAAAATACCGTGTCTCAAAATCGCAAGCTATTGGGTCATGGTTGCCTTAAACTACTCGCGAATCGAATAGATTCGCTTCACTTTGTATAAAACTTAACATACAAATATGGCCCCAATACTCTCTATACATCACCTTCAAATAGGCTTTATTCATGTTATACTGCAGAATCCAAGAACTTGTCATTGATTGAAGGTAGCGGACTACAAGGCTCCTCGTCTAGACTTCCGTCACGGAAGGTTCCACAACATGGTTTCGTTTCCTCTCTTTTCCAAGGGCTAAGCTATGAAACAAAGAGCAGCCTAATCACGAATCACTACGCAGGTGACCATCAATCAACTGACCAGAATCTGTCGTACACGTGACACGTCTCCTTTAAGCATCGACGGAACCTGCATAAGCGCAATTAGGTGTCAGTCTTAAATACCGCAAGCCGTAGTTCCGTGAACACTGATGCAGACACATGCATGAGATAAAACTAAAGGACCCGCACACGAAGTGTCGCTACAGAATAGATCTAACGCTCGTGACTTCGATACACCAATGCCATCGATGCGCAAATTAAACTCCAGAAGCTTAACGTAGTCCACTTAACAACTAAAATAGATACAAATGAGATTTATGAAGTCATTCATATGCACTTCTCGGTCAGATACTTGCAAGTACAATACATACAGCAATCCAGGGGTTGTTCAGTCCACCTTTTCAAGTCCAGGATAGAGCAAATCACCTTCTCCGCGACTGTGTAGGTTAGCTCTAAACCCTTCGATGCTGCTTGCGAGGAGATGAGATCCAATGAATCTTCTATACAATCTGTTAAACTAAAGGGCGCAACCTCAAGATCCATCTTGCCAGCTTCTATTTTGCTGCAACACAGAAGAATGATCGGTTTACTCAAACACTCCTACACCAGCTAGCAAACTCTTTTCATCTTAGCAAATAGATTTTGCACTCTTGCAAACTCCTATCCTGCTGTAATGTTTTGATTATAAGACTTATATTTCATAAAGAGCTTTAGGTCTGCAGGGTATAACAAGTGTTTGGAAATATTTCTGATGAGGAGTTGAGAAAGTACTATTTGAGAAAACATTCGCTGTAAATTACACACTTCGGGGACCGGATCCTTAAACCTAGAAAGTTCACACTTCCATGCACGTAAATAAAATTCTACCTGAAATCCAAAATGTCGTTGATGACAGCAAGAAGAGCTTCCCCACTACTTCGTATTGTAGAGACGTACTCCCGCTGCTCGTCATTTAGTTCAGTTTCGAGAAGAAGAGCGCCCATTCCAATGACAGCATTCATGGGTGTTCTTATTTCATGTGACATATTTGCCTACGACGACAACGTCGCACGTGAAGTCAGTGTGCATACTTTCCTCTTCAAATTTCAGTTCTTCGAAGTCGGTCTGATGTGCCTATTTTACAAAGTTTACTCCAGTATATCATGCACAGTTAGTGTGGGCTTCTCACCAAAAATTTCCCCTTTGCTTCGCTTGATTTTTCAGCAACATCTCGTGCCTTTCGTAGTGCTTCTTCTGCCAAATGTCTCTCGGTTATATCCCAAGTAATTCCACACCACTCCTTGGTTCCATCGTTGCCTCTGGTTTGCGGAACAGCATGAACTCTTACCCAACGGACCTCGCTATTTTTCACAATCCTGTATGTAGCAAAGGTATACTGGCTTAGTTCAGTCACGAAAGAAGCCTCGTACAGAAATCAAGGTTCCTAACTCCTCTTCGACCAATCGTCCCACCATCGAACGATGATAACATTCACTACCTGCTGACATTGGACTGAGTGAACTTCACATAAGTCCCTTCAAAACCTGAATTTGTGATCTACCCATTCTCAAAATTCTCGGTTATTCTCAAGGGGAAGCTGACGAGAATATCCGCTATGGACAAATTATCGTCTAGTCAGCATAATGGTATCAGAATCATCACCTGTAATCACAATCCAGATTCGTATGAGCGAGGCTGGACTGTCGCATTGCCTCTCTCAGAGTTGGCAGATCGTCTGCGTGTACGGCTAGACCTGTACAGCAAGCGCAAACTTTAGACTGGCAACTCCAACGGCAACGAGAGACCGAAATAAGCATCATCACACGTAGAGAATAAGAACAAGTTTCTGTTCCGAGGGTGAGATTGAACATGCTAAGGGAACTTCTAGATACAGGAGAAAAGTGCTTCGAACAAAATCTTTCTAAAACAGAGCTGTCAGCCATCATCTTCTGTGCTCAAGCGGAAATATCTTCAAATTCATGTAACCTGATTCTTTATGCGGCTGATTGCTACTGAATTCATAGTGCGCGGTCTCCGGAGCCTCATCTGCAGAAACGGTCAGATACAGGAGGGTTAACTGGCAAGAAATCAAAAAAAAGGCCGACATAAGCGCAGCAATATCTTTGGAAGAAGACCCAGTACTGTAAGTCACAAGTATACTTGATTGGATTGAAACAGGAAATAATTCAAGATACAGAGGATTGCAACTTGACTAGATTTAGCACTCTGATCTGAAGAGCAGACAAGTCGATCACCATTGGAACCATTAAGGACACAATAACTACTCCTGGAAGGAATAAAATAAGTATATATTTACCAAGTACAGCTTCTTGTGAGCTGCACATGCTTAATGCTCCCTTACTTACGAAGGGAAATGTCTCAACTCCCTTCTCATCGATTCTGTATTGGAAGACTCCGCCTGAAACTCGAGAAAGATGAGCATATCATCAAGCTAAGCGCACTCAGAGGAAAACCTCAACCGGACACGATGCCGGAAGAATCATTGAGCTAAATCAACTGCAACAGTTTGAGTTCCGAGCCTAACGAGGCATTACTATGAGATTCTTAATACATACATTATTTTGCAATAGGAATACAAGCACATCAGGACTAATGACTTCCATTGGAAACAAGATCTGAACCGTGAGTAGAGGTAAGTGGTACCTGGAATCGCATCTGTAATTCTGAAGCACATCCATTGGCACGAATCGAACACCACCGGTTCAACCATTACATTCAATCTATTAGTTGCATAACTTTAAGGGAAAAAATAGTAAGGGAATCTATGATAGCCAAGTAGCAAAGAAGTAACTAATATCCAAAGAATTTAGACGGGTTGTGCAAAAATAGAAGTTGACTCATGTTTTGCGAGAATATTCTACATATCTCCTACTTTTTAATTTACCTCCGCAACTCAGCTTGAGATCTTCGAAGTTCTTCTTGTGCCACTTTCTCTCCTGATATATCACGTCCAGCACCATACATGTAATTGGCGGTCCAGTTGAACCACTTATACGTTCCGGTTGAGTCGACAAATGTAGGTCCGTCTACCTAATCAAGAATCAAATTCATCCCAACAGCGAGGACGTAATGAGAGTCCACTTAACCCATGCCAGAATAGAAGCGTACGTATTATATTCTTTCCAGGATGGAAAGAATGTAAGACGATCTGATAAACCGAGAACTGACGTTTCCATAACGAATATGCCGAGCAGAATGCCTTGGAACCATTGTGGGCTTTGGAGGTCTGACCACTCCAGCAGTAGACGAAAAGGGTAACCTTAAAAAACATATATTGTATCTACTAAGTAACCCATCCGTTCGAATATGTCTTCCCTTCACTCCCATTACTGCTTTAACGGGTGCAGTCAACAATGAAAGTACCAAAAAACTCTGACTAAATCCTGATGTACAAGGCAATTCGCTGAGGTCTGCATTCGATGTCTGTAAATTATAACCAGATGTGCCCAGTTTGAATCGGGATCCTCATGTGTAACTTCACTCGTTCGAGAAGCAGGGAGCAGATGGTTACAAAAGGCAGACCTTCATACACAAAGGTCTAAATAGTTTACCTTGGCTCCAGCCTTGCATCGATATCGATTTTGAAGATTGACGATAGGTTGTCCAAGGGCTACTTTTTTAAATTCATCCATGGTATATACTCTATCGTCTGGATGCAGCAATTCCATCCATTCCGTGCTCAGAAACTCTTCCTGAGTGTATCTGAATAATTCAACACCAAGATAATTTTAGGACTCAAACGAACAAGCTTAAACGCGTAAAACTTAAAGGAAGTCACAATATATTTTCTGTGTCTATATACACAAGTCTCGACCTTAATGTCTTCCGTACAAATTTGACAATGTAAATAGAAGCATCTGGTCCTTTTGATTAGTGAATGTGAGCAGCGTTACATATTATTCTCGTCATTCTCAAGAAGACTGCGACATATAAAGGGTACAATCCAGAGGCTGTCGTAGACGTAATTTCAGATGACTTAGAAGAAAGAAGAGAAGCGATCACAGGTACTTACCCCAGTCTGTCGGTGAAAGATGGGCTGACGTTCTTGAAATATTTTCCATCCGGAGCTGCTTTGACAAGGATTTCATGAGGGAGAGACCAATATTTCTCCATGTCAACTTCGATAGACTTTTGCTCATGAATATCAATTCGCCATCCCACATAGCCGAGGAATTCATGATTGACAAGGGAAAACCGAGGCTTTGCAAGGTCCATAACCCATCTGTACTCTTCCGGAGATACCTGCAAACCGGAACCCATGGCTTCATCAGGAGCTAGGCACCGCTTGTCATGGTGGCATGATGTCGATTCACATTGATATGAAACTCGGTATACTGACAGAAGTTAAAGACTGATTTGGTTATGGGGAAGGGTACGTTGAGGTAAGTAACATCTTGTGATCGAATGTACACGCGAAAAGAATGCGAACTTTGATCGGAAGAAGGAAAGTAACCAGGAAATCCGAAATTCATGATACGGACTGAAGAAGACATATACACGTTTGTAGCAGATTTACCGCCTAAGAATGCAAAAAACGAGTTTCTAGTTAAGATGGTGCAAGACCTGCAAACGATAGTCGACTTGGAATGGACCTCGCTTAGCTTTAGCTTCTGCAAAGATCGCTTTACATCGCTCTAAATCCTCTGGATGGGCCTTTTGTTCCCACTGTTCTCCATAAACGTCGTCTAGACATGGTCGAACCAAGTCCAGCCAGCCGAGACCACATTCAAGTTTAAGTGAGGCAGCATCTCGGCCACACATCCATGCCGCTGCTGACATCTGTCCATCCAGAAAACTCAAACCTATCCCATCACGATGGCTACGAGCGTAACGGGAGTGGTCAAGCAACGAGGGAACAATTCCTCTGAGACCGTTTTCTGCACATTCAGTCTCATCTCCGAAACTGACAGGCGATTTAGCACGCATACCGGGCCTAATAATAGATTGCTCAACACGAGAATCGTCCGTATCGGATGCCATGAAGTCCACATCAGCTTCAGAGAGGGAATTGGGTCCGAAGGGGCCGCAAGGACTTCCACAAGAACTACAGGTCATGGAAGGGGCTCCGAGGTCTGATCCTATGGATGAGCAGCTCGACATAGAAAACAAGCTGGAATTCCCAGGTGATAGTCGCTTGGATGCCACAGTCATTCCCACTTGTGCATCAAAATCGATGGGTCTTTTTGGAGAATGCTCTCGACCGGGATACCCTGCGTTACTTTTCAAACTTCCCTCGCTCCCAGAATTGCTTGATCCCGATTTTGCTCTTCTCGGCGACGGGCGTTGCATTCCGTGATGCATCATCAGAGCAGCAGCAAGTTCTACCTTGTCTATTACATCAATCTCTTTGACTCTTTCAGAATTAGAGAAATTCGAGTGTGTCAACAACGACGGTGTGCGGAACTCTTCAAACATCTCTTCTTCCTCCAAGTCCGTAGAGGTTTCGACTCCAATGCCGGAGCTCCCATCCGTAGTGCCACTCTTTCTAGTCCTCCACGGCCGTAGGTAGTGAATAAGCTGGAAGAAACCTAAAGAGTACCTTCCGAGAATGAGTCCGCATACGCTGGCCAGAATGAGTCCTACGGGAATGCTAGATTGGGTGTCCTTTAGAGATGTCTTTTCCGCAAAACCTAGTCCGTGGCAAAGTGATAAACAAGTGGAGAAACACAGTCCTTGAGCTCCCACGCAGGTGTGCATGGCTCGGCGCACCAGAAGCAATCTGTGATGTGTTCAATTTGAACAATGTTCTCTTTGAGGTGCTCATGTGAATGGCACCTGGAAATTGCCCCCGTGAATTAGAGTCGCACCGTCGCAATGAGTGCCTACTGCTCTAGTTTCCTTGCATGCAGTTACAGCTTTCCTATGCAAAATGCGTTGCTAGTAGATATAGAGGTGCATTTTGGGAAAAAGTCCTCGATGTCCGCAGTGCCCCTTCCGGCGATATGATTAAAGTTGAGCCTCGTGCGCCCAATTCGCTCCTACCCCTTGAATTTCCCCATATCAAGTGACCCGCTGTCTAATTACGCACTTGTCAGGATAACGATCTTTGCTCGGAAACGCTGATTTTTACTCGATGCCGTCTTCTGAGCCCTATGCGTTCGGCACGAAACGCAACATACCTGCGCGCTCTGCTACCTCCAAAACCCACAATCCCTGCGCCCGCAGGGTGGGGGGGCAGAAAACTGACAGGGCCGACTTGATCTCGAGGCTTCCAAAAACCGCAGCTCTCGACTGCGCTACCACTCTACAATCTCGCTGATTCCATGGATCCTGCGCGGAATTGCCGGCACATCCTCGACAGAGCTCGGACTCACCTCAACATCCACAGGGCAATCGGGCAGAAGTCACTCTAATCATCGAGCTGCAAACGTGAGATGCATTGACGGGACGGCCGCACCCAAGCCATCACGATACGAGGAGCGGGTGAAAAGGAGATAAGCCGCTGCGACCACCTGCGACGTGGCAAAAGCGGAGCGAGATTCCAGCTCGACAGGGCAATTGCCCTCGCACTTATGCGCGAGCGAGCGAGCTCACTCTGTCACCGGCGCCTCTCGACCCTCTCGACCCTCGAGGCGTCGACCTGAGCCGGTCATCGCAGGCCGCGACGAGCTACATGATCTGCAAAACATGCCGATGGTGGCCGAGCTCCAGCCCCGCCTGCAGAAATCCGCACCCAACCAGTGAATCCGATCCGAACAACTTCCACCCTCCTCCGACTGTCGAGCCTCGCGGCCTCGCCTCGCTTCGCCTGCAGCAGACGCAGAGGATGATGCTGGTGGTGGCGATGGCGAGGGAGATTGGCATTTCGTGATCCATCCAACTCACACGCGCTCGCTCGCCATCGCACTCACGAACTCTGCAGGCTCTGCACGTGCTCCCTAAGATGGCGGCTGCCGCTAACCCGCCCCGTAACTCTTCGGCAAATCACATTCCCCGGTCTGCGCTCGGATTATTCTCTGCGAGGCCTGCCCATCCAAATTCTCTCAGCGCCTGCACCTTTTCGCGGGGATGTGTGTACCGGCAGGGCGACCGGCAGTGCTCTGCACCGCGGCGTCGTGGTCGAAGCATGCCCCGTCGCTCCGTCCCGCGGTTGCGCGGTCCAGCCCGAGCGAATCTCCGGCCGGTCCCGTTTCGGGCCGCGGAGTTGACCGGCGCGGGCAAATTCCAGACCCAGAACTGCGACCTCGGACACGGTCTCATCAGTCTGATCTACGACAGCTAGCCCGCAACGTACAGGCCGGGCGGGCGGGCGGGCTAAGGCATGACGAAGCCGGTGCTGCGGTGGGGTTCATTCGCAGTTCCCGCAAGCTCGTCTGACATGTTTTCCACAGAGGGAGCATAATACTTTCCGGTCCCTCCGACCTGGCACCGCTTTTCGGCGGGCGACGGACGACGGAGTTCAACCCTGACCATTTCCAGTCCCGAGTTCCAGCGCCCTCTGACCGGTGCTGGCCGGCCGACGACTCCGCCAGTTCTGCATATTCCCGATTTTCCAATCCGAGCTGCTCTGCAGTCGACGGTCAGAGATCCGGTCTCCAGCCGCGGCCCTGTTCGCCCCCTGAAGCCGTCACTGCTCCCCGGACTCCACTCCCGGGCCCGGGCCCGACCACTCTGCGAGGCAGTTGTTTAACCCCAACTATCGCGGGAACTTCCTCGATAACTGGACGCATTCCCCAAATTTAAGGACTCGGATTCGGGTTCGGGTTCGCCCCACCCGATGACCAAATACGGATGTGCTGGTTTGGATTTACCTGTCTCCACCGCTCTCGCAGTCGGGTAACTTCGCGGCCCGTGAATCCGATCGGGCCAGCATCATGCCGAGTGGACGCCCTTTCGCTTTCCATCTTTCCATCGACGCTGGAGGCGCATCGACGGCCCGAAACTGTCAACAGGCTTGAGGAAGATATCGGATCTCCGCGAGCGGTGTACCGGGCCCAGTTCCAGCCGCGCACCCTTCCCGGTTATTCTGCTGTCGGCCGGCTCGAGCCAATGGCGACGAGCAGCCTGAAAGGCACTTTAGTTGAGCGTTGGTTGACGATAACCTTGGCTGCCCGGCCCGGCGAGGCCCTCCCATCGAGTGGAATTTGGAAAGCGTTGGCTGCCAACTTGTCCGGTTCCGGGTTCACGACTGCTGATGTCCATGATGACCTGGAACGCAGGGACTGGCAGTCAAGCTAGTCTACGGATTCGCAGCCGAGGACAAATCTGGTCAAAGCCATTGGCCAGATTTCTATAGTTACTGTAATAATGCCCTACTTGCTACTTTTCCGTTCGCCCCCTTTGGATTTGTAGCCGCACTGCCAATTCGAAAGCGAACGTTTAGCATGTGTTAGGGATCAGCCCGTAAAATGTGGATAATTTCAATCATTTCCCCCTCTCGGAATAAGGCAAAGTCTGTTTTTGGAATTTTCTCCGCTTCGACCCGCTTTCGCGGATCGGCATCCCGATATTTTGTCGGATTCCTTTTCCCGGCGGGCACCTCACCGGCCTTCTTCGTCGAGCTACTAGGGGCGAATGATGATCGAGATATTCCACCGAGCTGGCCGGTTCTCTCCCTCCCTACGGATGAATGACGGCACGAGAGCGATTGAGGTTTGAACTCCGAACGAACTTCGTCCGCCGAGTGTGGTTACTCTTGGGTGTCAACGTCTTTCTCTTCGTCGGCCGTAGAAGAGAAAGACGGCGACGCACGCGATCCCACATTGCGTCCGAGCTTGGCAGCGAGACGGGTTTGCCGCCGTTCTGGAGTAGATCAGGCACCGAGTAGAATGCGCTTCATGACTCGGGGCCTGATCTACTCCGGTAAAGTCGGACGGGAGGACGCCATCAAGCCGCTCATGGATGAACCCTTGTAAATGCCTGCGCATGGAGGGATTGGCAAGGCGCGGTTGGGGCGAGCCTAAAGTTAAAAGTTGACCGCGGGTTGTCTTATTCCTCTGAAGGCTTGTCGATGCATTCATGTTGTTCCCAAAAGTTCATTACAGTAATTTGCAGCATGTCAATGATCGGAGACTCGCTCCCATGATGCTCTTAATGGAATAGTCGGACTCATCCGGGGCCACTTGCAGGGAGTTAGAGCTGTCTCTGCCATATATTTATTCTCATGATAAGGATGTGAGTGGAGCGATTAAGAAATTATTCGGCCTGGGAACTCCGGTAGGATCTGTCAGCAGATGTCTCGTCTTTTAAAATCGGGTATACTGTACAAACAAGGAGTCTAGTCCTTGTCCCTTTAACCACGGCTGACCGCGCCAGAAAGTTACTGGACCCTCACAGCAGCAGGCCCTCGGGGGGAGTTTTCTCTATAAACAGGGCCTTGCCGACGGATCCCAGATCTGCTCGGGATTGTCTCGATTTCTGCCGGCCCCAATCTTGAGATCCTTTTCTTAGCCCATTAATTTAGCGAGTTTTTTTTCAACGACTGCTTTTTTCTGAAAACATAATGCATCCCTCGATACTGTTCCCGGTGGCCTATTCACAAAAGCGGGGATTTTTCGACTGCAATGCACTTTGATCGGATTCTTTATAAAAGGGCATCTTGGCGTACAGAACTGGCCCTTGTTCTCTTAGATTTTGTGCATTGACCGTACTCTCAGTTTGCGTTGAATACCTGCAAGTGGCATACACCTGAGGACTGAAAGTGCCAACTTTTCTTTCGCCTTAGAAAAATTTGTCATTTGCATCCACGTCATGGCAAATGAAAGTGTCCAAGTGGATAACAAAGTATATGTGAATATCCCAACCAAAGCTTTACAAGGAAAGTAACAAAGGAGAAACAAGTGGCTAGTACCTTTGTATCATGATGAGGAATATTTACTACATCAGCTAAAATTTACTAAATATCTGGATAAAACTATCTACAAGGAACATTCACATCTGATGTCACATCAGCTCATGAGATTTTTTTCATGTGTATGAAACATTTTAATAATCTAAATCAAACTATCTACAAATAACATGCCCGTCCCTTGCAGCATCGCTCAATTTGATTCCTCTCTCGTATAGGTTGATCAGTGCTCTCTATAAAATAATGATATTATATTGACTAAAGTAGGATGCACAAAATGCTACAAAAAGTGATATGTCTTCATGTTTGTTGTAAGAGATTCATATTCATAGTGACAAGCATTGTTAACAGAAATACTTGTCACTATGAAATAAAGTTTCCACCTCGAGAAGTCTACATCCATGGAACACTCAGAATTTTAAACTAATTTTTGTTTCAGAAGATTCTTTTATATATTGCTAGCTAACTACTCTAATCAATCATAGTCAAACTAACTAGAACTTACTAAGAATTGAATTAATTCTTAACAATGTTCATGGGTATCATCTCACAAAAGTGTCAAATTTTATGTTCATAGTTGATGTAATTCTAATGCCAGGAAAACAAACATGTGAACTCTATACATAAAACTATACACATTAATCTTGGTCTCTTTCATCATTCTTGACAAAAATTGAAAAAAGTCATGCATTCATCAATGTACATTTATGGAGTGTAAACTTTTGTGTACACAAGCTTTAACTGAAAATCATACATGATATGCATACATGATATGCCAACATATATAATCCTAAATTCCAACAATGAAGATATAAAGAACTCAAACATTTAATTGAAGCAATTTGTTTCCTGTGATGATGGTGTTGCTACGTACTGAATATTGACCACATACCCAAGATGTAAATATTGATCCAAAATATATTACAACTTGCTTTTATGAACATTATGAAGAAATGATCAATTTAGTTTGGAAATATGTATGATATACTAAATTTTTTCTACAAGAAAATATGAACATAAAAACATAACATATCATTAATATGTATTAATAATTTAACCTAAAAAATATTATATTATAAATCGATATATCATTTTCAAATGTTAATATGTATAAAATTATCAGTTTAATATTTAAATCTACTATGCATTTGAACTTTATTGATGGTACTTAGAATAATTATTTGTTTGCATATGCATTATGCAAAAAATTCATAATGCATATGAATTTTGCATAATGCATATGCAAAATTCATAATACATTATATACAATGCATATCATAATTCATAATCTTAATATATTCATAAATATAAATTATGTATAAAATATATAATTTTTAATTTATTTTATTATAAAATTATGATAATTTAAAACAATATTTAAATTAAATTAAATTTATATACAAATTTATTATTAAAATAATAAAAATTTGTACATTTTAATCATGCATATAATGAAATTTGTTTAAGTAATTGAATATATTTAACACTTTATGTATTAAAATTTTCATTTATTATCATGATTATGTACTATAATCAATCATTGCTGAAGATGAAATTTATGTTTAAAAATTAAAATATTAGTATTTTAAATAAATTTACAATGTTTATAATTGTATATATCATCAATATTTTTAATAACATCCTGCGTTTTGGCATTGGATCTTAGATGTAAAGTGGATAATTATATTGTGTAGGAGTTATGGTTGAAACTAATACATTGAACAAGCAAAGCAAAGGAAACACGAGCAATTAAGTTCAACTACATCAGTTCAATACCCATTTCAAGTAATCAGAGGAATATGTTTCAAGTTATGACGGATTGTCCTTGAGAAGTATCAACATTAAAAAAATCAGTGTGTCTTGTTAGTAATGGTATTCTCTTCGGAATTTCAGTTGTTGATATGATTTTGTGCAGGACCCATGGTTTTGAATTTGACCATGAGTTGCGCTGAAATGATTCTTATCACCTACTCATCCCCGGACTTTGAGTTCGAGTCTAAATGTCATAGACCCCTTCCATATTCCTGAAGGGAGCGCTCCAGTCAAAAGAATATGTTTATCTTGCTAGA